CTGTCTGTCTGTACTAGGCTAGTCTTGTATTATCTACTTCAAAGTTTTTTTTCTCTTAATTAATTGGCCTCTCAGAGGTGGTAAGACAACTCCCACCTGTTTATGCTCTCTGTATGTGTGTATATATATCTCCTCAATATATGTTCCATTCTATATGCATCCGAAGAAGTGAGCTGTAGTCCACGAAAGCTTATGCTCTAATAAATTTGTTAGTCTCTAAGGTGCCACAAGTCCTCCTGTTCTTCTTTTTGCGGATACAGACTAACACGGCTGCTACTCTGAAACCTTTTTTTGTTTTGTTTGAGCACTCAGGCCACTTCTTACAAGCCCCACTCAAAAGTGATTTCCTCTGTAAGGAGCCAAAAGTAGTGTCACTCCTGGGACCTGGGCAGACACTAATTCCCTCTGACTGTTTCTGAAGAGTGCGGGAAATATGTTGTTTGTTTTTTTTGTCATGTAGTTTAAATGAATTCATACTCAAAGTTCGGTATGAATATGCCTAGTAAGGAATCTATTTGTCAAAAAACATTTCCTGAATCTTTTTTGTTGTCTGTATTGTTACGGACATACTTGCTGACAAGTATTTGGAAATAAATTACTAAAATTGAAATTGGCATCATTATTTTGTGTTTTGACAAATAAAATGCAGAATTTTAAAACGTGCACAGAATTTTTAATTTTTTGGTGAATTCCCCCCAGGAGTAGCCTATGGTACAGACTGCAAGACAATATCCCCAATAGAACTGCCCCACTCCTTTATCTTCCCACATCCCTCAGGTGCATATGGCATCCACCAGTTTTTTGCCATTTCAGTCTTGTGCTGGTCTGTTCAGGCTCCTGCATTTCATGTGGTGGATTTGGCTTCTTTATTGTTCAGTGTAATGTTTTTCTAGGTTGGCCTCTTTCTCACCCCCCCTTTTTTTTTTTTTTTTGGCTGTATGTATTTAGATGGAATAAATGAGCCAAAGGTGTTAACGTAACCCAGTCGCTGTTTAGCATTAAACAGTGGTAAACTGGGTTTGGTATACAGAGACCTCAGACTGCTTAGTACTGTGGCAAGCACACCATTAAAACTCTTTCTTGCCTTTGATCAAAGATACAGGGGGGAAAAAAGGAAAAGCAGTGAAAGCATTTGAAATGGAAAAACAAATAAGGCTTTAATTTTATCTACATCCCTTGTTTCTTTTCCCTTTAGCTGGACAAAGGTTTTTTAGAAGGGGGGGGGGGGGACTTGTCTGAAAGTCTCTTAGAAGGTATAAAAGATTGTGGTAACTGTCTGTTAGAGGGAATGAGAAGAAGTTAGTTGAGATTAGCTAGAGCAGCTGCTGCTGTTAAAGTCCAGTCCCATTTCATCCCAGGTGGTGGTTGGGATTCAATTGGAGCCAGTTAGGAGGAGGAGGAGGTGGTGGTGGTGGTGGTGGTGGTGGTATCTGGATCCTTTTCTCTAGCCTGGTCAGGACAACTCTCAAGATGGGTTTGACAAAGGTCTGTGGTCTTTCTATCCATTAATTACTTCAGCAGTTTCAGTAGTTTTGTGTGTTCTCACATTCCAGAATCGAATTTTCATTACTGATCTTGCCTTGAGCAAAGGACTCTTCAGGACATTGGTCAAATCCATAAGGAAGCCAATGTCCATTATATTCTTCAATGAAGTTGATCTCTTGTTTGAGCCTGCTGCATACTGTTATGGCTCCTGGTGTGTGTGTTTCTGAAGTCATTTTGGTTTTTATGTGGTAGAGTTACCAGCCTCATGCACAACCTTAAGTCGACAGCTCCTTATTCATTATTTGGAGTTGTCCATATGTGAACACTCCCCCCATCTTCCACCCAGGGAACATGCTTGTAGCTTTGAATGCCCCAGGTCTCTGGAGGAGGTTTATTCCTTTTCTTCTTTCTTCTAAGCAAGTCCTTTCACCTCTGGGGGTTGTACACTGAGAGTTGAGGGAGAAATCCCTGCGGGGTACCAGGAAGTCATCAGAAACCCACAGGATGGATAGATCCCACCCTGGTATTCACTATGTATTCTCCTCACTATCTCTGCCAGACTGGCCTCCCTGGAGAGAAAAACTATATTCTAGGAAACTTGCTCTAAAAAACTTGCTCTCAGCTTGTCGAGGGTGAGGAGGAATACAATGGAGGCTATCACTCATCAGAACAACAGCTTCCTGTCATCTCATCATCCTCTCCAGATGGATGAGTTTTTAAGTCTTCCAGGATTTGATTAAAAGAATGGCTGAGACACTGGATATCAACTTGTTCGCCACAGTGACCACACCAAGCGCTCAAACTTGCAGTTGAGGCATGAGCCTGTGCTTGTTGCGGGACACCATTTCTTTAGTGGTCTTGAGGATTCCTCTGCCTGCCCACAACTTCCCCTGATCACCAGGATAGTTTCCACGACCAGGAAGGATAAAGCTGTTGTCAACATGATAGCTCCTTACTGGCCGAGACAGTTTTAGCTGTCAGATCTGCTACAGATATCTGACCTCCCATACAGTTGCCAGATGTACTGTCTCAGAACCAAAGTCAGATCCTGCATCCAGAAATCTGAATGCTTGGATATTGGCTGATCTGATAGACTGCTCCCTACAGCTTCAGAGAATTCTCAAAGCAGGAACACTTACGCAGAGTGGAAAAGATTCTTTCCCCACCCACCCACAGGGGTATCCCCAAATAATTTGGATCCAGTAGAGGTGCCAAAGATCCTAAACTATTTACAATTCATGAAACCAGTAGCACTGCCATTTGCTTCTTTCAAGATCCACCTAGCAGCAATACTGGCATGTCCATGCTCTGGTACATCCACCTTCAGTCTTTTCTTTCCCAACCGTGTCTAAATTCGTTAAAGGCCTTCTCCATACTTAAGTTAGACATCTTGCTCCCTGGTGCGGCCTCAGTCATCCTCAAGAAGCCTCCTTTTGAGCCACTGTTGGAATGCTCCATGTATTGCCTCACCATTAACACGTGTTTTCTGGTACACTGCAAATCTGTATAAATGCCTTTCTATAGTGAAGGCACTAACACACAATGCCGACGGCTATATAAATAGTTAAAACACGTCCTCCTCCCCTTTTGTTCTTAGCCAAAGACACACAACTATTTTACTAACTGGAATATTGTGTCCAGTTCTGGGCACCATACTTTGGAAAAGATGTGCACAAATTGGAGAAAAGCAAGAGGAGAGCAATAAAAAAAAACGTCTAAAAATGTTTCAGGAAAGACTGGGAAAGAAAATTGGCTTTGTTTAGGGTGGAGAAGAGTGAATGGGGACATAAACCTTCAACTACGTAAAAGGTTGTTATAAAGAGGGGAGTGATAAATTTTTTCTCCTTGTCCACTGATGACAGGAAAAGAACTAATAGGCTTAAATTGCAATAAAGGAAAGTTAAGAAGTTTTTTCCTAATGACTAACCTAAGTGAAAGGGTAGTTAAGCACTTGAACAAATTACCTAGGGAGGCTGTGGAATCCCCATCACTGGAGGTTTTTAAGAAAAAGGTTAGACAAACAGTTACCAGGGATGGTCTAGAGTAAAAGTAAAAATAATAGGATTAGAAGGGACCAGATGACCTTTTGGGGTCCCTTCTAATCCTACGATTAAAAAGCACTGTAGCTTTTTATAGTAGTTGTTTATATCTGATGCATCTTCTTTGAGTCTAGCCATGCAGTCATTGATCAGGCATAATTCCTTCAAGTCAGACTATTTTAAACTGAAAGAGGGACCAACACACATAGGTCTTTTCCATCTCCAAAATCAGTTCAAATTGAGATTGTGTTTTGGAAACTAACTCTCTGATCTGGGCACAAAAGACTAATGAAGATGGCTGGTGCTCTTATTGCTGTAAGAGGAAATCCTGAGTTCCTGAAGGTGAATTTTTATTCTTTCTTGGATGTGGAACTCAGTGCAATATAATGAACAACTTACAGATTGGCATTGACCTAAAAATCTTTTAACATAACTTCATGCAGAATATTATATATTTGTATATACCAGATGATTAGGAATATTCTATAGCCGAGATGGACAAATATTGGGGGGGAAAAATATATGGTTGAATTCTGAACAGATCTGTTTTACTTTATTCCCTTTATGATTCATATGAAGGCTTGCAAAAAAATGAATGGGTTTTTATTTGCCTGAATCTTGGGGGAATAATTGTGCTTCAGATGATGGCATATAGCTATGGCTATTCATATGCATCCATAATTCATTACTAGAATTTTTTGAAAAAGGCAAATAATCTAAATACAGGGCAGAACCATGAGTCAACTTCCCCCATCACACATTCCAAAGAGTGGCTAGTTGAAGTGAACATTTTCATTGGGCAACAAGATAGCTCAGTGGTTTGAGCATTGGCTTGCTAAACCCAGGGTTATAAGTTCAATCCTTGAGGGGACCACTTAGGGATCTGGGGCAAAATCAGTACCTGGTCCTGCTAGAGAAGGCAGGGGGCTGGACTTGATGACTTTTTGAGGTCCTTTCCAGTTCTAGGAAATAGGTTGCTCATGAATTTTTTTTTTTAAATTAACCTATCAGCAAAACTTGTTTGCATAAACTATTTGATCAGTATCTGGCAGTGGTTCATGAATGATTTGCAGACAGAAAAAGTGCTATGTATTAAATTGTGAACAGCTCTATGCTGTATACAATTCCATTATAAGTACTTTCTGTTGGTCCTCCTAGTTTTAAGTTACATTTTTAGCAATACAATTTTTTGTCAGAACATGTATGTGTTCTGCTGCAAAAGGAAAATGAGGGGAATGGTATAATTTGCAGTGTGTGTAAAGCCTAAAGTCCTACTCTGTAATCCCTTCTGCATGGGGGTAATCTTTGGCTGTGGGGCTAGGTTAAGGCAGAACCTAGGCTGTGTGTGACACAAAACCCCAGCAGGCCTTCTGTATGACTATACCTCTCCTTTTTGTGAAGGGTTGAGGTCTCTTAAGGATAGTCACTCCGGGTGCTAGCTCTGTTGTAGAGAACATGTCTTGGCACAATGTTCTGTCACTCATTCTCCAAGAATACAGCATGAGAGCCATCTGGCTGAAGTTGTTCCTTGTAGAGAGACCAATGCTGGCTGCTTCAGCCACTGAGCGGAGGACTACAACCTGGTTAGTTAGACCTATTAATGCCACACTGAACTGTGATTCCATGCCACCCTCCAAGGTCCTGTCCACTTTGTGGCCCTATTCATCATTAGCACAGATGTCTGATAGGCAGGTTCCTGTCCCCAGTAACTGATAAGCTGACACTGATTAATCTCAGGCTCATTCATACAAGGGCCATAAGTCTGAGGAAGCTCTGGTACTAACTTCTAAGTCTGCACAGGTGCTACTCTCTAATTTGGCAGACCACATTAGTTTTAGGCCTGGCCCTTCCTCACTGGGCCTAAATGCCTTGGAACCTGAATCATTAGAACCCCTGCTCTCTGTGATCATAACCCCTTCTACTTTCCACATTGTTACTGATTTCCTCTCTCTTACCCCCCCCCCCACCCAAACCATCGCTGGAGCCAAGTGTTATCAGTGCCCCGATACTAGAGTCCCCTCTCTGTGAGGGATTGAGGGTGGTGATATCCAACCCCCCAGCCATGTAGTCAGCAATGTACCAGATTAGACAGGTAGCCTCTCTACCTTCATCCCTTGGGTAACACAGTAGAGTCAGGAAGAGAGAGCTTATCCTATCTGGTCCCTCCACCCCAGCTATGTATCCTCCCCTCAACATTCTCACTACCCATAGCTTTACTAGACAGGCTCGGTTGTGCCACCATACTGCCTGCATCAAGTCTCAGGGGCTCACCCTTTCCAAAGAGACCAATTATATCATCTCAGACAAGCCCATTGGTACAGCCACAGATATTTGAAAAGCAGGAGAGTGAGGAAGAACTTCATTACAGGCTGCAGTGGATGCATCTGGCACAAGCTTGCACAGTTGCCATGAGGAGGTGTTATGCCATTCCTAAGCATTGTTCATCATTTTAAAAGGCAAAACAGCTCCCTTAGTTGTTTCCTAGGCCAGGAGGAGAGTCAATCAAAATCTCCTTCTTCCTCTGCTACTGTATCTGTTTAAATATACTTAGGCATTCTGAAATCCAACCTCTGTATACTCAACAGAACACACATTGCACTTCTTTATCCCCTTTGGAAGCCTTCCAAGTGTTTTATAGTAATTGGGATGTATTAGCTAAAGTTGGTAGATATGAAAACAGGCACAAAAAGTTTGTCCTATAGTGTAATCCTGATGAAGTTGCTGAATGGCTGTACAGAACTTTGTGAAACCAATATAAAATATCTTCCTCTCAATAACTCTATTCACAATCACGTGTTTCATTCAGCACTACTTTTCCCCAAAGCAAGCAAGATATCCACATATTGCAATTACTTTACTTCAGAACGTATCGAACTGTGGTCCATGACCATGGAAGGCTTCTTGCTGGTAGACAGAAGAGCTGACAGACCACATGGCAATGGCTCTACTTCTGTCTACGCTGCATTGAGTTAGAAATACATAAATATTTTTTCCATGACACTAGTTACCAGAGAGGGTGAGTTCACAAATCTATTAAGTCTGAGAAGCCCCCCCAGATAGCTTGCTTTCAAAAGCTACAAACAGCAGGGAGATAGAGATAGTGCAGGGATGCTACAGTTTGTACATGTAAACTACAGTGAATTGGCTATATGATTTTGAACCACAAAGAGAGAGGCCACACTGGAGTATAGGCAGGCAGAAAGAGAATTACCCTAGACAAATATGTACAAGAATAAAAAGCCTCCCCCAGAGTTCCTCACCACCACAGGTGAAATACATGATTTAAGACACAAAGTCCTTATCAGAAAACATCTTTAATCAAAATATCTTACATGCAAGGTGCAATGGATACATAGTTGGTAAGCAGGGTGGTATAAACATGTACGTATGGCATGTAGTTTTTACATATGTACATTAGTCTGATTCAAAATGATTTTTCATCACTTATTTTTGAGCACCCAAAAGTTTCACAAACACTCCCTACTCAAGCACTTACTATCTAAATATAAAATGCAACACATGAAAACAAATTGAGAGCAGCGGTTACAAGTTATAGTAACATCCCACAGTAATTCACACCAGTTGTGTGCTCATAGCAGTAATGTACAGTGGGTGTTAATTTTCCATGGTCAGCAACCCTCTTAACCCATATTTCCCCACCATCCTCCCACCCATTGGTGTCTGTCAACAGTGAACTCCAGCCCCTCAGCTTAGGCCTGCTCCACCCATTCCCTTCTAAGAATCATCTCTCTTCCCCTCAATGGAAGAGTTCCAGAAAGTCACTTCTGACACCAGAAAAGGCTCTGAGGGCTGGAAAGTAAAAGTTTGCTGCTGGCTGTTCCAGCAGCAGCAGTGTCTGTCTCTACTCCCATAGCCAGCACCAGTCACAAGGGGGAAGGCTCCATTCTAATAGTGTGTCCACGGAGAGGTAACAGTGCATGTACATGTGCTTGGGCCTTGTGCCCTAGGACTTTCCTCCCATTTCTCTTGGTGAGAGAAAGGAGTTCCTCTCCAGGCCTGTTCTTTCTATTCTCTCCCACCATGAAGCTTATAACAGCTTCAGTCCCTAGCCTTGCCTAGCAGCAGCCACCTACCCTGTGAGGAGGCTCTACAGCCCATGAGGTGCCAAGGAGAGTGGCAATACTTAGACCCCCATACTAGTTTGACTGGTACCAACAGTCACATAATTAAGGGTTCAGCTCATTGGAGGCTCACATATCACATTTTTGAAAACACCATGAAACAATTGCCCATATCAGCATGCATAGCACTATGAAAATGCTACCACTGTATTTATTATTATGAGGTACATGTATGGACCTTGTCTGAGTGTCAGATTAGTTTGCACCGTTTGGTTGTTCCTTGGGTAAAGCAACAGGAGCAGAGTTAGGTACGGGTTTTTGGATGTCCTAAGTCTGTGCATCCCCATAGTTTTCAGTTTAGTAAATGTTTTCATTTTAAATATTCAGTTTAACTTGTGCACTATGAGGAAGCCACACTGTTCTAATGCATTTCTAGTGTTCCAATCTGCATGATATGTGCCTTTTAATTGTGGATAGGGGTGAGAATTCTACGTGCTTTTTAAGCATTAAACATTCAGAGCTTGTTTTACCCTGGAAGGCACTAATAACCAGAAAACTAGTCAAATGAGGACAATAATACCTGGAGTTAAGGGAAAGTTACCAACTGAAACAAGGAGCATTAATAAAACTGTATAAATCTTTTGTTTGCAGAATCTTTTCTGTTTCCATGACCAACATTTTGGAGAAAGGAAGTCCTGGGTAGTGGGTGTTTAAATAACTATTATTTCCATTAAGGTATGGTAATGTACATCCTTAGACATCCCAAATATTCTCCAACATAACCAGGAAAGACTAGACTTGATAGTGCTAAATTGAAAAGTGTGAGCAAGCAGGCCTTCTTTATGATGGAAAAAAAATAGAGCAAATCCCACTTTTAAAAATCTTTGCAAGTCACCTTTAAGCATTTTCACCAAAGAATTAGATACATATTACTTATGTGAAGTGTTATTTTCTTCCACTCCCCCCACACCAGGAAGAAATTGTTCTCCAGAAGCAACTAATGCTTTCCTGCAAATCAAAAACTGGCGAGCAAAATTTAAAAAACTCCTTCCCACCCAAACTGTGTTAGGAAACTGACCTAAAACTTTTAGTATGTTTTCTAATGCTAGATACAGGATATGGATAACAGCAGGAATCAATACTCAAAAGTAAATATAGTTCTTACATTTTTATTTTTTAGTAAACTTGATATTGGTTTACAATAATCAACAACTGGGCTTTAAAATCTGATTTTTTTTCATTTATCTTAAAGAGCCTTTCAGTGGCTACAAATACATTAAGTGGGCAAGGAAAATGTTTCCTAAACCATTTTAATCCTAAAATTTAATATGGTTTTATGTTGATTGTACAAGTCTATTCAGATGTTGGTATCTGGTTAGAAAGTATCTTGTCAAAAAAAGTAGAAGTACACTGAACATGCAGCTTGCTAAAGCCTAGAGAAGCATCAGGAATGCTTAATGAATACATTTAAATTTTTGAGTATTTAAATAGAAGGTGACATTTGTCCTGCACTGAAAGTAGTTTTAATTGATTTGATTCAACATAAGTAATTTGCTTACCCTCTTTTATATCCTATTCTGAATTATACAAACAGGGTTCAGTTCACGTGTACTTTTATAGAAATCAGTTTAGATTCATACATCTGTAACAAAATAATCTCTTAATCAGTTAAAAACACCTATAAAAAGATCTGATAATCTAACTTTTTTTCTTTTTTTAAAACATCCCCATCTGTTTTAAATATATTTGGACTTCCTATTAGTGTAGAAAAAGGGAAAGGAGAAGCTATGTCATGCAAATGTTATGAACAGTCAGACAAAACGCTCAATAAGAAATTTATAATCAAAATGACAGGCATGTGAACTTTTTTCCAATAATCAGTCTAGCTTCTGTCTTTATAAAGTTACATACAAGCCGGGATACAAGTTAAGGTCCCCTAAAGTAAACAAATTCCTTGTTTAAAGGCCTGGAACAAATGCCATGCAAATGTTAGTCTTATTTCCACTTTAAATCACATATTAATGCTATATGATCAGAGGGATGAGAGACACTTGGCAAGGCCTGATGGGTGGTAACTTCTTCATGACTTGGCAATGGAATTACTTGTTCAACCTCTAAAGCATTTATGTCAATGAAAATGTAGTCCAGGCATCCATGAAACCCACCAACATAATTTGTATAAGCAGGTTCTCCACAAGCACTTTGCAGTTTGAAAGGATGAGTTAGAGACATATTGCATCTTTCTTCTTCTCCATTAGAGACCCAGTCTTCATGATCCTCAGCAATATTGCCACTATTGATAAAACTATACATTCCAGTTGAAGGTGTACTATTAAAATCACCACAGAATATGACAGGTATGCCAGAATATAGATCACATGTAACATGCCTAATGTGAGACAAAGCTACAGCAATTTGGATGAGACGGATGTTTCCACCTATGAACATAAAAGCATGTTAATTAAGTATTTTATTTATTCAGTAGTTTCAAAGTTTTATAAACCACTGCTGACTGGTAGTCTGCAGAAATATACGTTTTAAAACCGTTAGCAAGGCTTCAACTTCAGTCCATGATTGTAGGGACTGTGCACCTTTAAACATACCCCTGCAATTTTCCCTCCCAAGTATGAGTGAATCTAGAGAAACCAAATATCTTCTTTGCTAAGGATTGAGCAGGGGCCTTTTTCACCCTTGCTCAGTTCTTCAGTTAATCCCCTGGCCTAATGGCCACTGGCTTCACCCCACCATCTCAGTGGCTTTTTTCTGCCCCTACACCCTTCAGGAACACCAAGAAACAGGAGGTAATCTCCCCTCCTAGTTTTTGGACCTAGAAGGGAGACGTGGTTTGAGAGGCCCAATTTGCTTCCTCTGCTGTCAATACCACAACATGGCTCCATCAGTTACACTGAGGACAGAGGGATCCACACTTTATAAACCCATCTATATTAGAAAATTACAGATTGGGGGTGGAATGTAGAATACAATGATCTTTGCTTCAGCTATATTCTGAACATTCCTAAGCAAGCAAGACTACACTCTATAATGATATAACACAATCCTCCAATCGGGTTGGTGCAGCAGTTAAAGATCACATTTTGAGAAGGAATGAACAAAGGAAATCCTCACCTCCGTAAGGAAAGGTGCAGAATTGTAAGAAGTAGGGAGCAATCCTTCCATTCAGAAAAGTGTGAAATGCAAATTCTAGTTGTGTAGGAAAAATGTTACTAAATCTAGCTAATAATATATACTTGTATACAACATCAGTAAAGTTACCTTTTGGATGCCAGTACAGATGAGTATTGGCTATACAAATCTTCCTCAAAGGATCATTTGTAGACTGAAGAACTGAAACCTGCATGAAACAGCACACTTTTACAAAATGTTAAATCAGAATATGCTTTACAGACCTCAGAGTGCCTATGTAGAATTATGCATTATTAGTGATTAATTAGCTTGTACCTGGGTGACAATTCCCATTTTTATACATCTCTTTCTACACATTATTTTGAATGTTATAGAAAAATATCATAAGCAATAAACAGGTTTTGAAAAACGTGTACCTGACAGGAAATAGCCCACGTATACTAACTACACATGCCATTATAACTTTTCTCCCCCACAATCCCCCATGACAATTATAGTACTTTATCAGTTCTACAACTAGTAAAATAAATGTTTGTAAAATAAGTCATTTGACACATTCCAGCAAAATTAATGTATTTGCCAAATACTACTTTACCAGCCCTGCCTATCAAGTCTCTTGCTTTTGCTATACTTTTTCTTCCCCATTTCACTCTCTTTCCTGTAAAAGATCTTGGTGTAGCTTTTCCCTTCTCCATTCTTCCACCCCTCTGCAGAAACAACATTGCAGTTGTTTCTCTGCACTGTGGAAGCCACCACTGCACTAGTCTGGGAAGTTAACTTTTTTTAAACAAAAGTTTAGATTGCTATCAAGCACCAGGGAAAGTTTGCTTCTCACTTGTAAAGGAGATTATATTTGTCACTGCCACAAGCCTCCATGTCAGTTACTGGGATTTCTAACATGGGCCATGATCCTGTAAACACTTATGTGGATGCTTAACTTTGAGAGTAGTCAATGGGTCTACAAACATGAACAGTTAAGCACGTTAAGCGGGATCGGGGCCTTAATTTTCTTAATGTCACTAACAGCACAGTCAGTATCTCACATGCACACCCCACTTGTATGTCTACAGTGTTTCAAAATCAGATAGCCAATGCCCCAAAGTTTATTAAAATTTAGAATAAAAATATTTTCTAAACTAAAATCAGATCTGATATTTTAGAAGCGCTGACACACTCCAATGTTCTGTTATATCACAATTAAGAATTCACTTTAAAATGGTTTGAAGACAGAAAGAAACCAAAGAAAATGAATACATTATTTAAAATTGGCAGGATCACATTTTTATCAAGCCCACATTCTAAAGGGCAGAAATCAGGGGAAGGGAACTGACACTGGCCACGCGTACCCAGTTGGGTGAATGGCAACTGAATGACAGACTGTGACACCACCACCTATCAAAACACATTTCCTTGTTTTACACATTAAGCAGTGTGAGCGTCTGCCTAATTCTCAAAACTCTCCATAACTTAGGGCTTGACTACACTTACTGGGGGATCCACGAGCAGCAATCGATGCATCAGCAGTTGATTTAATGGGTCTAGTGAAGATAAGACTCCTGTACTCCACCTGATCGAGAAAAGCAGGGGAGACTCCCATTGACATCACGTAGTGTGGACCCCATGGTAAGCAGATCTAAGCTACATCAATTTGAGTTATGCTATTAACGTAAGTCACATTGCGTAGCTTAGATCGAATTTCCCTTATAGTGTAGACAAGGGCTTGCTCCAGCATAGACTGACTCCATGGCTATGTCTACACTACCACAGTAAGTCGACCTATGCTACGCAACTTCGGCTACTTGAATAACGTCGCTGGAGTCAACGTACCTTAGGTCGAGTTACTGTGGGGTCTACAACGCGGGTGGAGGGGGAGGGGGTGTCAATAGGAGAAACTCTCCTGTCGACTTGACTTGCCTTACTCTTCTCGTCAGGGGTAGAGTACAGAGGTCTATTGGAGAGCGATCTGCTGTTGATTTGGCAGGTATTCACTAGACCCGCTAAATTGACCGCTGGTGGATCAATCTCAGAGCATCGATCCCGGCTGTAGTGTAGACACAGCCTATGGTTCCTACCCTACTCACTATCACAGCTCTGCCTGCCTGAGAAGTTTTTACTCTATTGCTGCTCTGTCCCTTCTTTTTCCTTCCACCAGTAGTCCTATAACGACCCTCCTCCTGAACAGCAACAGTGCCTCCCACTCGCTCTGCATTTCGATTTCCTGGGGGTTGGACACACCCAATTTGTGAGGCAGAGCTGCTGTACAAGCGGCAGGTACCTGCAGCACAGAGGATCTCTGCAGCACCTTCTCCTGGGCTAAGGGGTAGGGGGCTAGCTTGTCCCGCAGCTCCTTGTGCAGTGGGTTGGAGACCAGGGCCTCATTGAAGGCAATATCGTGCTCGCTAAGCAAGGTGAACTTATCCCTGCGGTAGAAAGTAGCCAAGCCTTCATGCTGCTTCTCCTTGATCCTGAAGAGACCTTCGAGGCCGAAGGCGTCCAGTGCCGGGGCCAAGCTATCAGCGAAGACAGACTTGTCCACCTCCTGCAAGCAGATGAGGTCGGCGCTGTAGCCGACCAGCTCCTTCTTGAGCAGGTTCTGCCGGTAGTCGAGCTCCAGCGCGTAGGGCGCGCAGTAGGGGTAGAGCACCGTCCGGGAGTGCTCGGTCTGAGCATAGATGTCAGCCAGAACGTTGTAGGAGACCGTGCGGATTAAGCCTTCCCCGGACACCTTCTTGGTGTAGAGGTGCCGGGAGTCGAAGGTACAGGCGCCGGGCCCAGCCTCTACAGGGCCGCTGCTCTCCACCTCCCGGGGCAGCCCGTAGCGCTGCTGGCTGTTGCCCGGGGTGCAGTGGAGCTTGAGGCGCAGTCCGATGTGCGCGTTGGTCGGCGTGAAGACGCGGTCCCTGACGGGGGTTTCTACCCAGATGTCGCCCCCTGGGGAGGGCTCGTCCCCGCCGCCCCCCGGCTGCTCCCGGTACCAGCGGAAGAGACAGTGCTGGGGCGCGCCGAATTCGGTGTGGATCTTGGGGCAGACGGGGAAGCCGGCGAGCAGCGAGCGGGGCAGCTGGAGCTCGATGACTGAGGGCGGGTTCCGCTCCACCTGGTACTTGACTTCGCCGATCTGCAGCACGGCGCCGTCCTGCCAGGCCTCGGCATTGGACACGTCTTCAGCCACGGACTCCCCGTCCCGCGAGAAGAGGCGCACGGCGAGTGGCGCCGTCGGCACCGGCTCCCCGGCCGGTCCCGCCTCCGCCCGCGCTTTCTTGCTCTTCTTGGCCGCCTTGGCATGGCCCTTGCCGGCGTTGGTGGCGATGCGGGCCAAGGCCCGGCCTAGCGGCTCCGTCTGGTCCCGCTGCATGTGCTTGGCGCTCCCGTCACACAGCACGAACCACAGGCTCATCTTCGGCTCCGACGGGACGCAGCGCACCACAGCCCGCTCCATGCGGCCAGGCGAGTCTCCGCAGGCAGGGCCGGGGGAAACCGCGACGCCGCCGCTGCTAAGGAAAGCGGCCGATCGGCAGCGGAGCCTACTCGGGCCGGCAGCGGCTCGTAGCTCCCCCCACAGAAGGCTCCACATGAACCAGCCAGCCCGGCATCCACCATTCATCAGCCGCCGCTGCGTTCCGGCTCCGGGCCGCGCGCCAAGGCAGCCTCACATTGGTGACAGCACATTCGCCTGCAATCGCCCGGAAACCCGCGCCGGGCCAAAAGCTGCCGAGCTGAGCGGCGCGTCGCAAGTGCTGATGGGTACTTGGGTGGTCAGATACCGGAAATGATGAAAGGGAAGGCCGAACCAGGGGAAATGTATTTGTGATTGGAGGCAGTCGTGAGCACAGGCCGGAAGTGCTGACTATTTACTTCCTGTAGAGCGATGTCGCTAGTAAAGCTCGTGGAAACACCTAGTGCTGCGCCTGCCGAGCTCGTACCGCGGCTGGAGGTCGCGTGGGAACAGGCAGCCTGGGGTCATGGGCGCTCCTTTGTAGCTCTCAGAGCCTTATCTAAGTGGTTTCCTTGGAGAAAATAATCTCTGTCTTTTGAAGCTCTCTAGGGAATTGTCCCTTCTCCCTCCCCGAGATATCAGGCCTTAGTGAGGGCCGTGTCTGTTATCAGTTCTCTTCAGGGCTAGGCAGCTGGGACAGTTTGGATGAAGTAGGTTAACTAAACACTAAGGCTACATCTACACTAGAGGGGGGAGTCGATTTAAGATACGCAAATTCAGCTACGTGAATAGCGTAGCTGAATTCGACGTATCGCAGCCAACTTACCCCGCTGTGAGGACGGCGGCAAAATCGACCTCTGCGGCTTCCTGTCGATGGCGCTTACTCCCACCTCCGCTGGTGGAGTAAGAGCGTCGATTCGGGGATCGATTGTCGTGTCCCGACGGGATGCGATAAATCGATCCCCGAGAGGTCGATTTCTACCTGCCGATTCAGGCGGGTAGTGTAGACCTAGCCTAAGTATCTCTGATATTAACAACAAAATCCTGCACCCCTGAGGGAGAGCCTTTAAACACTCCCTAAAATGAACCCGCAAGAAGGGATTTACTCTCCGAAATAAGTGAGATGTGAAAAGAGGAAGACTTGTCTCCCGAAAAAATTCATACTTCTATAAAGCATTCTTTAGCATAACACTCCATACATCTAATTGATGCCTGAGGTTTGGATTTATTTTCTACTTACCTGGTTCAGAATGTTTCATGTTTATTGAAAGAAAGATAAAAATAGAACAGTTCAATCACTTAAAGATGTGATATCTGTAAAAAGAGTGATTTTAGAAAAGTGTTAGTCATTTGTAATATTGAATTTAACTATTCGTTATTATGACTAAGACCTCAGTCCTGTAGCTGCATCTGTGTGATCATTAAAGTCTGCTCACAGGGAGGCATTGGAAGGTCAAGAAGACCTAGGGTAAATCATTTCACTTCTCTGTGCCTCAGTTTCTCTATTTGTAAAATAGGAGGGAATGATCCTGAGCTCCTTGGTAAAGTGCTTTGAGATCTAATGATGAAAAGCAGTATAAGAACTAGATATTACTATTGTTATCATAGTGGGACTTGGTAAGTCTCATCACTTCCCTAGATCAAAGGTCTAGTTTGTGGTTTTGTTAATTTTACTGGGGAAGTTAGCCGTAAGAACAACTATCTGTTGTAGTTATATAGCAACCCCACAATCTTTCTTTTTTGATGAATTTATCCTCACAATGATCCAGTGAGATAGGAAAGTACTGTTATCCCTATTGTATCGATAGAAAACTGAGGGACAGATCCTCAAAGGTATTTAGAAATCTAATTCCCATTGGTCAGTGGGAGTTAGGTGACTAAATACCTTTGAGGATCTGGGACAGAGACTTATGCCTTGTCTACACTAGAAAGGGTTTGCCTGTATAACTTTTACCAATTTCCTAAATAAAATAAAGACTTTTTTGCCAGTTTAACTTAATCTACTCTAGGGCTTTTACTGGCATAGCTATTTTGGTTAGAGCTGTGATTTTGTCATGCTTCTAACCAACATATTCTGGCAGAACCTTTAAGTGTAAACCAGGTTTAAGTGGTTTGACCATGGTCATGCAATAGGACTGTGGCCTAGCAGGAAACTGAACCTGGCTTTTCTAAGTCCCAGGTTAGCATCCTAGCCACTGGATCATCCTTCTTCTCTGAATAAAAATAAAGTTGATTATGTATTTTATTAGAGTTAGTAGTAATATATTGTAATGCAAAGCTAAAAAAAATCTCAGTGGCCATATAAAATCCTGATTCAGCATTAAGTGAAACCTCACCCCCTAGCACCTGTGTTAGCTTTAGGGATCCAGTCATGCAGTTCATTGCAGGATTAGGGATTGCATGCTTAAATATTCACAAGATCAGGTCCTAAAATTAAACTGCTTAAATACAGTTAAAGCCCTTGTCCTATAAATGATATCAGGAGTGTGTGAAAAGCGTTTGCAGACTCCTAATATCTTGGGACCCAGATATCTAATATTTTGGTTCTTAATAATTATTTAATACATTCACACTTGTATGGAAAAGGAACATACCCTTTGTCAGTTTAATCATTAGTGGTTTCTGCACATCTCTACTATATACTCCAGTCTGAGTGCATTGAAACTTATTTGTCTGAACAGAGTTGAATATGTTGTGAAATCAACTAAATTACATAAAATAACAGTATTTCTGTATGTAGGACACAGAGGTGTAAGTATATCCCCCAGAGACCCAATAATAGTGACATGAGTAGAGCACAGAAGGCTGTGCACGGGTTGTTCTCTCTCTAGGTGAGGCTTGTTTAAGAATCTTTAGGCATAAAGACAGATTTCAGAGTGGTAGCCGTGTTAGTCTGTATCAGTAAAAAGAAAGAGGCGTACTTGTGGCACCTTAGAGACTAATAAGTTTATTTGGGCATAAGCTTTTGTGGGCTAAAACCCACTTCATTGGATGCATGCAGTAGAAAATACAGTAAGAAGATATATACACAGAGAACATGAAAAAATGGGTGTTGCCATACCAACTCTAACGAGACTAATCAATTAAGGTGGGCTATTATCAGCAGGAGAAAAAAAAACTTTTGTAGTGATAATCAGGATGGTCCATTTCAAACAGTTGAAAAGAAGGTGTGAGTAACAGTAGGGGAAAAATTAGCATGGGGAAATAGTTTTTACTTTGTGAACCCATCCACAATCAGTCTTTATTCAAGCCTAATTTAATGGTGTCCAGTTTGCAAATGTGACATTATCGGTGATACTGTTCCTGACAGCTTGTAGTCCATCTTTGTGTGGAATGTTGGTGTAGAGGGCTTCTACATCCACAGTGGCCAGAGTGGTGTTTTCTGGAAGATGGATGTAGGAGCCCTCTACACCAACAGTATCCTTGATAATGTAACAGTAAACCTGGTGGCTGAACTTTGTGACTTAATCCTCACCCACAACTATTTCACATTTGGGGACAATATATACCTTCAAGTCAGCGGCACTGCTATGGGTACCCACATGGCCCCACAGTATGCCAACAATTTTATGGCTGACTTAGAAAAATGCTTCCTCAGCTCTCGTCCCCTAACGCCCCTACTCTACTTGTGCTGTATTGATGACATCTTCATCATCTGGACCCACGGAAAAGAAGCCCTTGATGAATTCCACCATTATTTCAACAATTTCCATCCCACCATCAACCTCAGCCTGGACCAGTCCACATAAGAGATCCACTTCTGGGACTCTACAGTGCTAATAAGCAATGGTCACATAAACACCACCCTATACCAGAAACCTACTGACCACTATACTTACCTACATGCCTCCAGCTTTCATCAAGACCACATCACACGATCCATTGTCTACAGCCAAGCTCTAAGATACAACCTCATTTGCTCCAATCCCTCAGAGACAAACAGCTACAAGATCTCTATCAAGCATTCTTAAAACTACAATACCCACCTGCTGAAGTGAAGAAACAGATTGACAGAGCCAGAAGAATACCCAGAAGTCACCTACTCCAGGACAGGCCCAACAAAGAAAGTAACAGAATGCCACTAGCTGTCACCTTCAGCCCCCAACTAAAACCTCTCCAGCGCATCATTAAGAATCTACAACCTATCCTGAAGGACAATCCCTCACTCTCACACATCTTGAGAGACAGGCCAGTCCTCACTTACAGACAGCCCCCCAACCTGAAGCAAATACTCATCAGCAACCACACACCACACAACAAAAACAGTGACCCAGGAACCTATCCTTGCAACAAAGCCCATTGCCAACTCTGTCTACATATCTATTCAAGGGCCACCATCATAGACCTAATCACATCAGCCACACCATCAGAGGCTCGTTCACCTGCACATCTACCAATGTGATATATGCCATCATGTGCCGGCAATGCCCCTCTGCCATGTACATTGGCCAAACCGGACAGTCTCTACGCAAAAGAATAAATTGACAGAAATCAGATGTCAAGAATTATAACATTCAAAAACCAGTCGGAGAACACTTCAACCTCCCTGGTCACTCAATTATAGACCTAAAAGTCGCAGTTCTTCAACAAAAAAAATTCAAAAACAGACTCCAACGAGAAACTGCAGAACTGGAATTAATTTGCAAACTGGACACCATTAAATTAGGCTTGAATAAAGACTGGGAGTGGATGGGTCATTACACAAAGTAAAAACTATTT